TTGCAGAGACATAAATTTAGGATTTCATGTGCTATAACCCACGACTTTAACCATTCTCAGTCTTTTTTACCCGTTGCCAAATAATTCACGATTTCATAAACTATATCCTCCATCTTTTGACCATTCTTAGTCAATTTGAACCGTTGCTAAATAATTTGAGGAGGCCAAAATGTTTGATTTTGTGGCCCACGTATCCACGTTTTAACTTTAATCACATTTTTAAACTAACTCTTGTAGACACGTTTTTCAAAATCACGATTTTAGTGGTAACAGTTTTAAACCACGCTTTGTTTAGTTAAAGGATAATCACGATTTAATAATATTAAGGACTAAACTCCTATTGGTCAGTTTAGTTGGAGATAAGATTGTCAAATAACCGCTCATGTTGATGGAACATGGGATAATTGTTCTATTTAAGACTTAGTCCTCTCTCTATCCATAAGGTGAAATTTTCTCTCTCCATCAAGAAAAAAATTCGAAAAAATTCAACAGGGCTAAGAGAGAGAAAACTCAGGTCTAAAACGTTGTTCTTCCTGCAATCATGGATCAAGATACGCTCTCGTAATTAAATTATTCTTCGTGAAAATCATATTGTTCTAGATCTTGGTATTATGATGATCAAATCAAAATTAAGTTTAGTTTGATTTGCTTAAATTAAGTATTAGGTTTACACAAAATTCACTATTTCATAAGCAACTCTTGATTTTTGGCCATTTTTAGTTGTTTCAATTTTTTGGTCAATAATTTCACAGAGGCCAAAAATTACGATTTTGTGAGCTATAATCCATAATTTTTGACCATATCTAGTTGTTTCAATACTTTGGCAAAATCTTTCGTGGAGGTCAAAAATCACGATCACATGAGCTATATCCTAGGTTTTTTTGCCTTTAGTTGTTCCAATTCTTTGGCAAATAATTTCGTGAAGGCCAAAAATTAAGATTTTGTGAGCTATAACCCCAATGATTTGTCCATTTTAGTCATTCTAACCCATTGAAAAATAATTTTGTGCGGACCAAAAATCATGGTCACAAGCCATAATATGCAAATTTGGCCACTTTAGTTTTTTCAACCTGTTAGCAAATAATTTTATGGAGGCCCACATCCTTGATTTCATGAGCTATTGCCGATGATTTTTGGTCATCTTTAGTCATTTTGGCCTGTCAGTAAATAATTTCTTGGAGGTCAAAATTCACGATTTCATGAGTATTTGGTCATTTTTATAATTTCATGAGCAACTCATGATTATTGGCCATTTTCAATCGCTTTAATCCTTTGGAAAATAATTTTACGGAGGCCAAAAATCATGATTTCGTGAGCTATAATGCACAAATTTTGGCCATATTTACTTATTTTAATTCTTTGGGAAATAATTTTTCAAAGGCCAATAATCACCATTTTCGTGAGTTATATCTCATGATTTTTGGTCATATTTAGTCTTTTCGACTCATTTGAAATAATTTGCATAGAAAAAAATTCATGATTTCATTAGTTATAACCTGCAGTTTTTGGAAAATTTTAGTCAATTTGACCCGTTAGCAAATAATTTTGCACTGACAAAAGTTCATAATTTCATAGCTATAACGCATAATTTTTGGTAAATTTTTGTTATTTCAACACATCGGCAAATAATTTCGTGTAGGATAAAATTCAAGATTTCATAAAATTTAAGCCATGATCTTTTTGCCATTTTTAGTTGTTTCAACCCGTTGGCAAATAATTTTATGGAGGGCAAAATTCACAATTTTGTAAGTAATTCATGATATTTAGCCTTTTTTTATTTTGATTATTTTACAAATAATTCCGTGGAGACCAATAATCTAGATTTTGTGAGCTATAATCCATAATTTTGGGCCCTATTTTGTTGTTTCGATTCTTTGACAAAAACTTTTGCAGAGGTCAAAAATCATGATTTTGTTAGCTATGTCCCATGATTTTTGGTCATTTTTAGTTGCTTCTATTCTTTAGCAAATAATTTTAGGGTGGCTAAAAATTAAAATTTTGTAAGCTATAACCCACGACTTGGCCATTTTTACTCATTTTGACCCTTTGGTAAATAATTTTTGGAGGCTAAAATTGACGATCATAAGCTACAATCTATAATTTTTGTGCATTTTTAGCTATTTCGAGCCATTGGCAAATAAATTCGTGGAGGCCAAAATTCATGATTTCATGAGCTATTGCCCATGGTCTTTGCCCATTTTTGGTTGTTCCAACCCGTTAGCAAATAATTTCATGGAGGTTGAAATTCACGATTTGATGAGTTATAACCCATAATATTTGGTAATTTTTAGTCATGTCAAACCGTTGGCAAATAATTTTGCAAAGCCTAAAATTCATGATTTCACGAGCTATAACCCACGATTTTGGCCATATTTAATCATTTCCCCCAAATGCAAATAATTTCTGTAAGGTCAAGGTTCACAATTTCGTGAACTATAAACCATAATTTTGTTTTTAGTTGTTCGGTACACAGTTTCTTCTATGTGAAAGTTAACAATTTTGTGAGCTATATAACCCATGTGTTTTGGTCATTTTTAATCGTTTCGACCAGCTGCCAAATAAGTTCATGTGGATAAAAATTCACGATTTAAGGAGCCATAACCAATGATTTTACTCCATTTTTGTTGTTTCAATTCTTTGGCAAATAATTTTATAGAGGATAAATTCATGATTTTTTGAGTGATGGTCCTTGATTTTGGGCATTTTTAGTTGTTTCAATTATTAGGCAAATAATTTCGTAAAGGCCAAAAATCACGATTTCATGAGATATACTCCATGATTTTAAGCTATTTTTAGTCATTTTAATTCTTCAGCAGATAATTTTGCATAAGCCAAAAATCACAATCCAGTAAGCTATTTTTAGCCTTATTTTGTCAATGGAACTCATTGCCGAATAATTTCACAGAGGAAAAATTTAAGATTTTGTGAGCTATAGTCTATAATTTTTGGCTATTTTTCCCGTCTTGTCTCGTTGGCAAATAATTTCACAAATACCAAAATTTACAATTTTATGAGCTATAACCCATGATTTTAGACTATTTTTAGTCATTTCGATCCGTAGGCAAATAATTTCTCTAAGGATAAATTCATGATTTCATGAGCTTTACCCTATAATTTTTAGCCATTTATAGTTATTTTGACCTATTAGTAAACAATTTTACGAAGGCCAAAATCCACAATTTCACGTTTTCATGAGCTATACGCCATGATTTTTGGGCATTTTTACTTGTTTGGACCAGTGCGCAAATAATTTTACAAAGGACAAAATTCACAATTTCATGAGTAACTCATGATTTTTGGCCATTTTTACTCATTTCAATTCTTTGGCAAATAATTTCTCGAAGGCCAAATATCATGATTTAATGAGCTATAATCCATAACTTTTGGCCATATTTAGTTATTTTATTTCTTTGGCAAATAATTTTTAAGAGGCCAATAATCACCATTTTGTGAGCTATATCCCATGATTTTTCGTCATATTTAGTCTTTTTTGACTCTTTGTCAACTAATTTCGCATAGAAAAAATTCATGATTTAATTAGCCAAAATTTTGGTAAATTTTAGTCAATTTTAGTCAATTTGACCCTTCGGTATGTAATCTTACGGAGGATAAAATTCATAATTTCATGAGTTATAAGCCACAATTTTTGGCCATTTTCAGCCGTTTTGACCTGTTGGCAAATAATTTCACGGAGGATAAAATTGCCAATTTCACGAGCAACTCATAATTCTTAGCCTTTTTTAGTTGTTTCAATTCTTTTGTAAATAATTTCACAGAGGCCAAAAATGAAGATTTCATGAGCTATAATCTAGAATTTTTGGCTATATTTAATTGTTTCAATTCTTTAACAAAGACTCTTGTAAAGGACAAAAATCCTGATTTTATGAGCTATATCCCATGAATTTTGGACATTTTTACCTGTTTCAATTTTTTGGCAAAAAATTTTGTGGAGGCCAAAAATCAAGATTTCGAGAGCTACAACCCATGATTTTTGGCCATTTCTAGTTATTTTTGACTAGTCAGTAAATAATTTTGTGGATGGCAAAATTGATAATCATAAGCTGTAATATATAGTTTTCGGTCATTTTTAGTCATTTCGGCTCGTTGGCAAATAATTTCATGGAGGCAAAGACACATGATTTCATGAGCTATTATCAATGACTTTTGGCCATTTTTAGTCTTTTCGGCCCGTTGGCAAATAATTTCACAAATGCAAAAATTAACGATTTCAAGAGTTACTACCCATGATTTTTGGCCATTTTTAGTCATTTCGAGTTATTGGTAAATAATTTTGCGAATGCCAAAATTCACAATTTCATGAGCTATAATCCATAATTTTGGGCATTTTCAGTTGTTTCATTTCTTTGGAAAATAATTGCTTTGAGGCAAAAAATCATGATTTCATGAGCTATATAACCCACAATTTTTGGCCATTTTAATAGTCTTGTCCTGTTGGCGAATAATTTCATGTAAGCCAAAATTCATGATTTCACGGGCTATAATGTATAATTTTTGGCCATTTTTAGTCATTTTGATACATTGCCAAATAATTACGTAGAAGTGAAATTTCATGATTTCGTGAGCTATAATCCACGATTTTTGCCAATTTTTAGTTGTATCAACTCTTTAGTAAATAATTTTGCACGGACTAAAAATCATAATTTTGTGAGCTATAATCCATGATTTTTGGTCATATTTGCTCGATTTGACCCATTTACAAAAATTTTTGTGTGGGCCAAAATTCAAAATTTCATAACCTATAATAAATAATTTTTCGCCTTTTTGTTGTTTTGATCTACTGGTTAATTATTTCACGGATACCAAAATTCATGATTTTGTGATAAAAAACCCCAAGATTGTTGGTAATTTTAATTATCTTAATTCTTTGGCAAATTATTTCTTAGAAGCCAAAAATCATGATTCCATGAGGTATAACCCATGATTTGCTGTAGCGCTCTGACGCTCTTGTTGTTATTTTTTTCTTTTAAATTACTTTTCAGGTAGTTCGGAGTTTCGGAGAGCCGCAGGGTGACGGAGTTCTGGCATAGTCGCCGTCACGTATTTTTACTTGTAGAGACTCCTCTATAGTTTTGAGTTTTATCTAGACATTAGAGTTTCATATTCATATTGTAAAGGCCGTGTGCTTTAGTACGATTTTTAATTGATTCATGTTAAGACATTTTCATTATTCAGATATCAGATGTATTATAGTTGAGACATGATTCTTTTCATTTATGAGATATCTTTTCTATATCATGTCTATTATATTTATTCCCTTTATTTTGCCTGTTTGTACCTGCACTTCTATTTGGTTCTACTAGAGGATATTACTGTGATTGGTGAAACATGTTTATGCACAGTGTGGGTGCATGACAGGTTTGACATCTCTGGTTTCACCTTGGACTGCAGCCTTGTGTGAACCCAGGGGCGTCACAGTATAACCCATGATTTTTGGCCTTATTTAGTCATTTGAACCCATTGACAAATAATTTCACAAAGGCTAAAATTTATTATGATTTCATGAGCTATAATCTATGATTTTTGAAAATTGTTTCTTGTTAGTCCTGTTAGCAAATAGTTTTACAAGAGGCCAAAATTCACAATTTCATGAGTTGTAGCCTATAGTTTTTTGGCCATTTTTAGTTGTTTTGACCTATTGAAATTTTTCGCAGAGGTTGAAATTCACAATTTAGTGAGCAATTCATGAATTTTGGCCATTTTTTGTTGTTTTAGTTCTTTGGTAAATACTTTCGTAAAGGCTAATAATCACGGCTGCATGAGCTATTACCTAAAATTTTTAGCTATATTTAGTAATTGTGACTTGTTAGCCAAATAATTTCACACTAATCAAAATTCATGATTTTGTGAGCCATAACCTCTGATTTTTGGCTTTTTTAGTTGTTTTAACCTGTTGGCAAATAACTTCAAGGACGATAATAATCATGATTTCATCAATTATGAGACATGATTTTTGGCTATTTTACTAGTTTTGACCTGTTGGGAAATCATTTTACGGAGGAAAAAATTCACTAATTCCTAAGCAACTCATGATTTTTTTTGGCTATTTATAGTTGTTTTAATTATTTGAAAAATACATTTGCGGAGACCAAAAGTCACGATTTCATTAACTATACTTTAGCAAATAAATTTATAGAGGCCAAACATCATGATTTCGTGAGCAATAATACACTATTTTTAGCCTTTTTTTAAAATAATTTTAACTCATTGATAAATAATTTTGTAGATGATAAAATTCATGATCATAAATATAACCGATTGTTTTTAGCCATTTTTCCTCATTTCGACCCCTTGGCAAATCATTTCGCGAAGGCCAAAATTCATGATTTCATGAGTTATAATTCACAAATTTGGCCATTTTTAGCTATTTCAATTCTTTTGCAAGAAATTTTGTTGAGGTGAAACATCACAATTTCATGAGCTATATACCCATGATTTTTAGCCATTTTTAATCATTTTAACTTGTTGGCTAATAATTTTCTTCAGCTAAAATTTATGATTTTACAATCTATAGTCTATAATTTTTGGCCTGTTTTAGTCATTTTGATACATTGAAAAATAATTTTGGGCCATTTTTAGTTATTTTAGTTCTTTAGCAAATAATTTCACAGAAGCTAAAAATCACGATTTTGTGAGCTATAATCCATGATTTTTGGCTATATTTACCTGATTTGACCCATTGACAAAGAATTTTGTCGAGGCCGAAATTCACGATTTCATGAGCTTGAGTTAATATTTTTTGACATTTTTGTTGTTTTGATCCGTTGGCAAATATTTTACAGAGTCTAAAATTCACGATTTTCTGAGCTATAATGTATGGTTTTTGGCCATTTTTACCTATTTTAATTCCTTGGCAAGTAATTTCATAAAAGCCAAAAAGCATGATTCCGTGAGCTATAGCTAGGGGTGCATTCGGTCCGGATACGGCTCAGATATGATGCTTATCATATCCATATCCGCTTACCCATCTCGGATACGGATACAGATACAGATATACCTCGGTAAGAAAAACTTATAACCATATCCGCTAAAATCGGATACGGTTACGGATATACATGCGGATATATAAGCGGATATGCATGCGGATACAAAACAGATATGAGAAAACTAGATAGTATTGAGAAAAACATAGTTCATGTGATACAAAAAAGTTCGTTAATATGTCCATTATAACTAAATAGTTAAGATTAGTCATCTTGATCATCAAAATTAACCACAAATCCATAATCTAAGAATCGAAACTATCGTAAGAGTATGACTAATATGTATTCGGATATTTCGGATACGGATACAGATATTTTACTACAAAACCATATCCATAACCATATCCTATCGGTTATAGATTTGAGTAACCATATTCGTATCCTAACGGATACGGTTACGGATATTTCATCGGATACGGATACGGTTTAGCACCCCTAGCTATAGCCCATAATTTTTGGCCTTAGTCATTTCAACCAATGGTAAATAATTTAACTAAGGCTAAAATTTATAAGTTTATGAGCTATAATCGATGATTTTTGACTTATCATTTGAACCATTGACAAATAATTTGGACTTGGCCAAGATTAAAGATTTCGTGAGCCATAACCCGTGATTTTTGATAATTTTTAGTCATTTTGACCCATTGGCAAATTATTTTCACGGCGGCCAACTTTCATAATATTATGAGCTATTACCCACAACTTTTAGCCATTTTTAGTCACTTCGAATAGTTAGCAAATGATTTTGCGAAGGTCAAAATTCACGAATTTAGAAGTTATAACCCACAAAATTTGGCTATTTTTAGTCATTTCAACTTGTTGGCAAATAATTTTGTGAAGGCCAAAATTCACAATTTCATGAGCTATAACCTAAGTTTTTGGATATTTTTAGTTGTTTCAATTCTTTGGGAAATAATTTCTTTGAGGTGATCATGAGCTATAACCTAAGTTTTTGGATATTTTTAGTTGTTTCAATTCTTTGGGAAATAATTTCTTTGAGGTGATAAATCACGATTTCTGAGCTATGTAAGCCATAATTTTTGGCCATTTTTAATCGTTTTGACCCTTTGATAAATAATTTCTTGCATGCTAAAATTCATGATTTCACGAGCTATAATCTATAGCTTCGACAATTTATTATCATTTTGATACGTTGCAAAATATTTTCATACAAGTCAAAATTTATGACTTTGTGAACTATAATCCACGATTAATGGTCATTTTTAGTGTAAAACCCCAAAGTTTTTGAAAATATTATTATAAATGATAAATGAGTTTTATTATGATTGGTGATCATTCTGGCCGGGATGAATAGATCAGATTAGAATCGATTTGAGATTAATTCGCAGTTTTAGCCTCGGTATCGCGAGTCTACTAAAAACTGATACTATTTTATTTTTAGTAATTTTTCTGTTGAACAGATGGGCACGAGGTTTGTACCATTGATCTTAGAATTTTAAGATGGTGTTGTGGGTATAGTTTCGTTGCGTTCTGACAACAAAAACTGAAAACACTATTTGAGACAGTATCGCGAGTCTGCTGATATCTATCACATTTGTATTTTTAGTAATTTTTTTGTTTAACAGATGGACATGAGGTTTGTGCTATTGATCTTAGAATATCGACGGTAGTGTGGGTAAATTTTTATTACTTTATGAGAACGGAGATTTGAAACTCAATTTTTAATAATATAAAATTATAAATATTATTATTATTTTTCCTTTTCTTTTCTTCTCTCCACCTACCCCCACCTACCCCCTCCTATAAAAGCCTCTCCCACTCTCTCTTCTGAGCAGAGAAAGAAGAGAGAGAAAGAGAAGGGGAAAGAGAAGGAGAGAGAGAAAGAGAAAGAGAGAGAAAGAGGGAGAGAAAAACATGACAGAGAGGAAGAAAAGAGAGGAAAAGATAGAGAGGACTTTGGCTATTCGGAGAAAATGAATGGATAGGGAGTCCAATTTTAGAGATCAATAAAGGCAAGTTTATCTCTTTCCAAACTCATCCCCAGTTAGTTCTGATATTGATGAATAGAATGTTAGATCAAATCACAAAAATAAAGAAAATACATGATATTGATAAAAATTGATGAATAGAATATTAGATCAAATCCCTAAAGATATGAACATGCTAGCTAGAACTATACATATTTGTCCACCGCTTGGAAATACTATTACTATTCATATGTACTGGGGTACTATGCATAAATATCATTACTATTCATACATGCGGTACTATTCTTGAGTACTATTACTATTCATACGTACTATGGTACTATTCATAAATACTGCATTGTTCATACGTACGGTACTATTCATGAGTACTATTACTATTCATACATAATGGGGAACTATTCATACGTACTGTTATTGTTCATACATACAACGCTATTCATAAGTACGGATACTATTCATACGTATGAGTACTATTTATAAATACTATTACTATTCATACACACGGTACTATTCATGAGTACTATACCTATTCATACGTACTGTGGTACTATTCATAAATACCGTATTGTTCATACGTACGATACTATTCATAAGCACTATTACTATTCATACATACTGGGGTACTATTCATACGTACTGTTATTGTTCATACATATGACACTATTCATAAGTACTGATACTATTCATACGTATGAGTACTATTTATAAATACTGTTACTATTCATGCATATGGTACTATTTATACGTACTATTACTATTCATGAGTACGGATACTAGTCATAAAATACTGTTCTATTAGTAAGTACTGCTACTATTCATAATTAGTTAATACAGCAGATAGTCGAGGTTGGTAACCCTGATCATTTATTGGACAGTTTGGCCCAATTTTATTTTCTGGAGTTTGTTTGTGCCGTTTTGTGACGCGATCGTGGAGTTTGAGCCGATCGATATTATACTTACAGTCATGAATATGACGAAATATGTATTTGAGTATCACACGTGGATTATGACGAATTGAGATCTATCTACTTGTGAGTTAGTACACCGCAAATAAGACTGCAATTATACCTATTTGTCGATCCGCACGGTGATG